CCACCTTAGGTGTATGTGGCTGGCGCCTTAGCCGGTTGAGCCACAGGCGCCGAGCCATACCTGGCTATTTTTTGTTGCACTTGTCATTGTTGGTTAGTGGGCCCAGGCCTGGTTCGAACCTGCCACCTTTGGTGTATATGTCTGGCGCCATAACCACTACGCTACAGGCGCCAAGCCCACAGTATTTATCTTTTTAATGAAAGCCATCCTAGGGCCTGTGGAACAAATATGTTTGGTTTTTTGAAGGGGACAGAGTCTCACTTTGTCGTCCTTGGTAGAGTGCCATGGAGTCATAGCTCACAGCAATCTCAGATTCTGGGCTTCAGTGAACCACTGCACCCAGCCAGCAAATGTTTTTAAATGATAATATCTGGCCAGGCATGATGGCTCACACCTGTAATCCCAGCACTCTAGGAGGCTGAGGAGGGTAGATTGCCTGAGCTCAAGGGTTTGAGACCAGCCTGAGCAAGAGTGACACCTCAGCTCTAAAAAATAGCTGAGCGTTGTGGCTGGCACCTATTATCCCAAGTACTCAGGAGACTGAGGCAAGAGAATCACTTGAGCCCAAGAGTTTGAGCTGTGAGCTATGACGCCATAGCACTCTACCAATGGCAACAAAGTGAGACTCTGTTAAATAAATAAATAAATCTGATAAAGTACTAAAGTGACTAGTTTTATATAACAAAGTATTTCACGGGGTTCTTAGGGCTTTAATGAAATAATACAGAGAAAAAGCATTGTATGTATTGTAAAGGATATAAGAAATATTTAATTACTATCATTAGGTCCTCTGCCTTCTAGAAACTCATCATCTAAATGGAAAAACAAAATACCCGTATAAAGGCCTGGCAGTTGTTACTGAAGTGCACAAACCAGTGGCAGAGAAAATAAAGATATTTTCATTATTGCAAAAAGGAAAGCAGTTAGCAATGAGTGAACAGGATGGGAAAAGCTTTGTGGAATACTTTGGTGGATCTTGAAGGGTAAGTAAAATCAATATAGCTAGGAGCAAGAAGAGGTGGGAACAGCACAGATGGGTCCATAATGAAAAAGGAAAAAAAGAGCCCAGGTAGGTACTCTGGGAGGCCAAGGTGGGAGGAGTTGGAGACCAGCCTGAGCAAGACCCCCATCTCTACTAAAAAAAGATAAATTAGCCAGGTTTTGTAGTGGGCACCTGTAGTCCCAGCTACGAGGGAGGCTGAGGCATGAGGATCATTTGAACCCAGGAGTGTGAGGTTGCTATGAGCTAGGCTGACACCACGGCACTCTAACCTGGGTAACAGAGTGAGACTCTGTCTCAAAAAAAAAAAGCCCAGGTATGCAAAACCCAAATAAACTGGTATATACTTTCATAGCATAGTAAGACAAGAGACCTGGTAATAGCAACAAATATGCTGGAATGAGTGGAGCAGGGAAGATCACAGAAGAACTGAAGCCTTTGAACTTTATCTCTCAAGTAATAGGAACAATTGAGGATTTATAGGAAAGGAAAACCATAAAATAGGGCTTTTAGCAAGATTAATCTGGCAGCAGAAGATTTGAGACCAATTAATCTATTAAACAATTGTTTCAGGGTGGTGCCTGTGGCTCAGTGGGTAGAGCGCTGGCCCCATATACCAAGGGTGGCGGGTTCGAACCTGGCCCCGGCCAAGCTGCAACAACAATAACAAAAATAGCCAGACGCTGTGGCAGGCACCTGTAGTCCCAATACCCGGGCGTTGTGGCAGG